GTGGATAAATGCCTAGCAGTGCAATTGCTGGGTCGTAGGGTAGGTTTTTTGAGGAACCTCCATACTCTTTTCCAGAGTGGCTGCACCAGCTTGCATTCCCACCAGCAGTGCAAAAGAGATCCTCTTTCTCCACATCCTCGCCAACATCTGTTGTTGCCTGAGTTGTTAATGTTAGCCATTCTGACAGGTGTGAGGTGGTATCTCATTGTGGTTTTGATTTGTATTTCCCTGATGATGAGCGATGTTGAGCATTTTTTCATGTGTCACTTGGCCATCTGGATGTCTTCTTTGGAGGAGTGCCTGTTCATGTCTTTTGCTCTTTTCTTCACTGGATTATTTGTTTTTTGGCTGTTGAGTTTGATAAGTTCTTTATAGATTTTGGATACTAACCCATCATCTGATATGCCATTTGCAAATATCTTCTCCCATCCTGTCGGTTGCCTTTTAGTTTTGCTGATTGTTTCCTTCGCTGTGCAGTTTTTTATTTTGATGAGGTCCCAGTAGTTAGAGACCATTACTTTTAATGTATCCACAGACCTGCATGTGGATGGATCCTCTTTTCTTAGCCACTCTCCCCCTTTTGCCCTCAGATAAGCCTCGTAGCAGATATGCCGTCAACAACACTGGAGACCATGCCGACGACCAGGATGGTGATTCCAGGTAAGGGCTTTACAGTCACTCCATGATGGGGCTGTCGTGCCCCTTGGCCTGGACAAAGCCCTACCTCCTGTTGACCCAGAGGTTTTCTCCTGTGACAAACCTGGTGTCCTTTTATTCCATTTGCGGGGGTTTCAGGTTGTGCAGAACTGGGATTGTGTTGCCAGTCTCGGCCTTGCTGCGTAGTTTGTTCCATGTTCCAGCTGTGGACTGGTTGGTTGCTCAAGGAGATTGGAAAACAGATGAGGCTAGAGGGAACTTTATCTACCATGAGAGGAAGATGGAGAAAATCAGTCCCCAGTGCTGTCCTCAGACTTGACTTCTCAAGCATGTGCCCAGAGGGCACATGTAGGTGCTTGGGGCAGCCCAGCCTGCTCATGGGGTGATGTGGGCTGAGAGCCAGGGCTGATGTGACCCTTGCTCTTTTAGGGCACAGATGAAAGGCAGGTCCTGGTCCTTCCTGTGTGTGCTCCCCTGCTTGTCCTGGGAGATGCCGTCAGGGTGGCAAACATAAGAAATGACCACGTCTGCTTTACATTCATTTTAAGGCTTAGTAAATGGTACTACCAGCTAAAGGAGGGTTATAAATTGCCTGCCCTTGGTGCCTCTAAACACAGCTGGGGCCTGCCTGCAGTAAAGGACTCAGCCTCAACTGTTCCATGGCAGAATAGCTGAGATCCCTTCCTGGGCCTTTGCCATGGAGTGAGCTAGCGCTATCTCCCTCAGGCCTCTTGACAAGACACCATATCCGCCATGGTGTTGTGCAGTTCCACAGTTGTGGTTTTTACCCTTTTTTGTGAGGGTATATGGGGCCTCTGGCGTGGCCAGTGACTGTCTCTGAGGGGAGCAAGCTTTGGAAGAGAGATCAGCAGGAGAGGGCAGGGGGTGTGGGGGATTATTGGACATCCCATGTTCTGCGTGATGTAGAAGGCTGTGGTCTTCTTGTCCTCTGAGGTCGGCCACTTGGAACAAACTCTTGTTTGTTACAGGTGCGTAGAAAGCACTTTGCTCCTTCTCGTGGGGTGGGTGCATTTTGTCTTCTGCCTGCAGCATAGATTCATTTAGAGCAGGGCTGGCCTGCCCTTCTCCCTCCAAGCTCCATAGGTTTGAGGCTCAGGCTGCTGAAGCAGAAAGTGCCGTTGGAGCAGTCTATGTGGCTTTCCTAGGAGGCTGGCAGCCCCTGAGCCCTGGAGTTAGCTCTCGGAGGCCTGTAATAAAAGACTAAGAAGATGTTTTTTAGGGAATTATTTTCATATGTAGCATACAGAAGGGGAAAAACCATAGGAAGGGAGTGAGGCATTGTGGGTCTATCAGAATTCTCTGATAAGCTTGTTCAGTAAGAAGAGCAGGTTCCACGGGGCGCCTGGGTGGCTCAGTCGGTTGAGCGTCCGACTTCGGCTCAGGTCACGATCTCACGGTCCGTGAGTTCGAGCCCCGCGTCAGGCTCTGGGC